CATGGTAAAGAATATATCTGAAGAAGAAAGTGGGCGACATAACGAGAAGCAAGTTATGAAGGATGGAAGCAACGTTGAAAAAGAAGGTCGAGCGTAAATGTTTTTGATACAGTTTGTAGTGGAACGCTAGACCTAGCGGGATCCTTAAAACTACTCCGGATCCCACGCCAGCGAAATCAGAGACCTCATTCTCACGTCCCAGTCAGCAGCACGCGTCATCTGCAGTATCTACGGATGAGACTCCGGTCTCACATCCAGATCGGCAGACCACGCCGCATTTGACTGCGGATGAGAATGCAGGCTCACGAGGTACGCACGAGGCTACTGTCTCGCGTTCCGGTTGCCGCGTACGCCTACCTGTACGCTTTCTCAAATAACTACCAATCATCCACGGGTGCGGTACAGGATTTTACCGTCATACTACGTGCATACTACACATTTCTCTTTTTCTTTGATTCTTTTTATCCCGATCCTATACCTCTCTGACCATTTCCCGGTTGGTACCGTCGACTTCAGTCAACCTTGGCGAAAGCTGGCCTGATCACCCACGCTCTTGTCAATGCACTCAGTCGATTTTCTGGTTAGAATATATCTGGTATACGAATGGTTTCGCACTGGTCGTTTCTGGTTCCTCCGCTCAATCTGGTTTCGTCCTACGTCTGTAACTTTATCTGATCGGAATCCCTACGAATGCCATCTTCAGACTCCGGATACGAGCCACGCTGGTGTGGCATGCCAACCTAATAGAAGCACTTGGCACGTAATTATTCGCACGACAGCGGAAAACTCTTGGTGCAACTCGAGCTTCATCGGTCGCTCCCTGTCGTCAACCCTTCCGCCCTACAACCAAACTTTGGCCGACAACCCCCCCCGAACGCAGCCGCTATGTATCGAAAGTGTGAACCCTTTCTAGGGGGGGGCTCCTGTAGTGGAACTATTTTGTGAAGAAAACATAATTGCTGACATATAAATACTTATTATTAAACATGTGTAACAATAACTGTTTTATTGTACACCTTTTGTTTATCTGTACTTGAAGTAATAATTCAAGCGCCAATCTCGTCAACCTCGCCGACTCTGTGGCTTTATTGATCATTTCGTGTGATTGCGTTCTCTGGCTGAACACGTGATATTATTTTGATATCACGCGACTTCCAATCAAAAAATATCGTTATTCTATATTTGGATTTCTGGTTTAAATTCGCTTGGGAGTTTAAACTTGGCAACCATCCCAACTACAACAAGTTAAACAAAACTAGTACAATAATAAATGTTCTCCTTTCAATAGTTGCTTGTCCTTCGTAGAAGTGTTCCACTACAAGCTAATGTAGCTACAGATTTTTAAATTATAATAATTTTTAACCCTATTCATAAATATGTATTATGATTAATCTGGTTAGGGTATTAAAGATTCAAATAGTAAGAATTCGAACAATACGTATCAGCGAACGATACTCTTTTCAATTCAAACGGCACCGGGCTTAGCTCAGGTATACATGAATATCGATATAAAGATCTTCATTACAGTATGTTGTATCGTTTGTAGTATTTAGGATGATGTAAGTCAATGTTAAATGTAGTGAATCATCTTTTCGCTAGATGGTTGAAGGTAGTCAGTAGGAAACTCTGTACCTAGGATTCTTCCTAGTTGGCAGTAAGGCTGAGCGGTAAGGTAAGGATATTTAGAACTAAGAGATTACTAAGTAGTAAATAGTTCATTTGAAGCCATACAGAACACTGGTCACTGCTTGAAGACAACACATAAAAGAGGACAATATTTTTTTAATTTAACTTAGTTTTCTGGAAGCTTTGCGAATTAGTCTAAAAGGTGTGAATGGTTTATAATTAAAACATGGCCAATGGAAAGATTGTTATCGGTTTGCGAAATTCTTCTTCAAACTACCAATAACTCTACGAATTTGTCGTAAAATAATATGATAAATGTTGATCAACATCATACAGTGATGTTATTCGACTAAGCATTGGCTCCGAATAGAGGTCCAGTATTATTGTTTTTAAGCAGATGAAGTGTAAAATATGTATTTAATAAACCTTTGCCATTGAATGCTGTTATTATAGATAAGACTTCAGTTGAACTTCTGAAAACTTTGTTTTCAGAACGACAAATATGAATGAACAATAATGTTTTTAATTTAGTTGCTATGAGGCTTTATTCTAACATTGAAATGGAAATATTAAACCAGTCAAGTCAATTTATGAGTCAGTGATGACAATCAAATAGAATAAATAACT